TTGGTTACCATTGACAATATTGTTATTAAGCATTGATAATTTTTTGGGGATTTGAAGTCGTTTATTGTTTACTATTTTTAGATTGTAACTTTATGGTACAGGGCTCCAGAAATTTTACTTGGATCTCAGCGATACTCAATGTCGGTAGATATTTGGAGCATTGGTTGCATCTTTGCTGAGATGGCTTTGAAGAAGCCCCTTTTTCAAGGCGATTCAGAAATTGATGAGCTCTTTCGCATATTCAGGTCACTGCTACTTCATTGTTTGTTCAAAATGAAACTAAGCCAATGACACTTCAGAAGTTTTTTGTCGCTAAACGTTTTTTTTCTAGTAAAAATTATTTTTAGAGTTCTGTCTACCCCAACGGAGGAGGTTTGGTCTGGGGTAACTTCTCTTCCCGAATTTAAACCCTCGTTTCCAAAATGGACTGATAATCAGCTTCAAAAAAAAGTTAGCGATTGCATGAACCCAGACGCTATTGACTTACTGCAGGTTACTATGCACATTTTGCTCTTTACTTTCCATTTATTTATTATATGAAGTCAGCAACCAGTTTTGTTTTTTAGAAGATGCTTATTTTTGACCCGGCAAAGCGAATATCTGCGAAACAATCTCTTTTACATGAGTACTTTGATGGCCTTGTCAAAGAGTCATTGCCAGCCACGAATTTTCACTGTTAATTAATATTAGTCTACTAGTTGCTTCGCTAAACGTGTAACTTCTGTCAGTCACACTTTCAATTTACCTTAGTCTCTGTATTAATCACTATTTGGACCTTTTGATTTTGCGTAGTTAATTTTAACATAAATTTAACATCTTGTCAATATACATTTTGAGCTGTAAGGGTGGAACCAGAATTTATTACTAGTATTTCATTGAGGAGTAAGTTTTATTTAACCAAAAAGTAGGTTTATGATTTTGGTTCCAGTTAGTTTAGTTCTTTATGCTCGTGTTTACTATGATCTCTTGCCTTTGAATGCTTTTTTACCTTGCAATATATTTGAAAAAGGAACTTGTATAATAAGTCTTTTTACAGAAACAGTTCTGCTTTGGTTGCTTGATATGTTTTCTGCACTTACTATATTGTCGCTGATAAAGGTACTTGATGATAGCTGATTGTTTTGTAGCTGAGAAGTTATAATTTTTTTGGAAAATAATTATCTGGGTTCTAGTACGCTATTTTTTGTTGGAAAGGTATTGGCTAAGTTAGGTGGTTTTAGAAGGACAAGTGGAATTTCAGCAGCAGCTGAGGTCCTACGCATTTGACCTGCAGTTTTTGCTTGTTTGAAAAAGAAAATTGCTCAAGAAATGTCTCAAGGCTTGATGGATATCTTTGCAGCGTACATTGCAGACCTGGAGGCAGGGGAACAATGGTGCGGTTCTTGCTCCAATCAGTCCACTGACTTGTGATTAATTTGTAACGTGGACGGTTTTAAAAGCATTTTTT